TCATATCGGCGGTGAGAGGTGTCTCTGATCACACCTCTCTGCGCTCCATCTCTCTCCTGGCCGTTCTGAAGCTGCAGTGGCCGGGAGGAGAGAGAGGGAGCACAGAGAGGTGTGATCGCTGCCGCATCGACCGTCTTAAAAGGGGCCCCCTACCGTCCCCTCCACTTGCGCCCTCAGGTAGATGCTTGACCTGCCTATATGGTAGCGCCGGCTCTGTGCAGGATATGCCTTCTGATTGCCTTGTGCTGTATATTCAGGATGTATAATAGACTTTTGAGAGTGTGTTTATATGGGATCTATAGTTTAGGTGTGTATCTGGGACATATGTATGTGTGTATGAGATAAATAATATAGGTTTGTTTATGTTATGTTTATTGCATGTGTGTGTGTATGAGATATGGGAGATATCTCCCTCTATCTCCTTCTATGTAATAATGTTGTGTTGCACACTTCCTGTATGGACATTTCATTTCGTCATTTGAGAATCCACCGGCACTCTGGGGGTTACCTGTGTATAAAACATTTGTGTACTTGTTTAGTCTCCGCTCCCCAAGATTTGATTATCTAATAATATAGTTGCAGACTGATTGGTACAATTTTTGGATTTTTTTGGTTGGTTTTAGAATTTGTATATCTTTCACTGGACGTTGAGTATGTTGCATACATGCGGGGGTGTCAGGATCCAGAGCACCCCCAGGTGGTGCTGGAGCCAGGTCCTGCAGGTCCTGTGCTCGCCTGCGGGTGTCCAGCAGCCAGTGACTGTAAGGAACCTGCAGCTCCAGTACTCACCTGCGGGTGTGCCCCAGCTGTGAGTGATCATCCCATCACCTGGTGCTTCCTGGGAGGGTATTTAGGCCCTAACTGCAGTCAGGAAGCTGGCTCAGTATTTGCGTCGCCTGCACTTGACTGATTCCTGAAATTTTGTAGTCCTCTATAGCTGGTGGTATTGTGCATTGGTGTATAATGCACTGCTGGGATTTGTAGTGCTCTATAGCTGACGCTATTATTAGTGCCCCCCCAGTTTTAAAAGTGGTATCTTATGTGCCCCCTCTATGAATTGTTCCTAGAGTCACCACTGCCTAAGAGCATAGTCTTATATTTTTAACATTTCTTTTCACCCAAAGTCAGTGTTCACTTTGAATACCCATGTGTGAGATAAATTAAAAGCACATGATTTTTGCTTGACTAAATGATTAAAGTGAATAAAGCATTGCCTTATTTCCTAACATTCACTGTGCAACTTGAACAGTCTCTTCTCCTTTCACCACCAAAATCACCACCATTGAATATCATCTGCAGTTAACTAGTTTTGTTACCGTTTTTTCAAGATCTTTCTGCATTCTAGGGAAAGTTCACTTTTTGATTAAAAAAATTGAATATATTTTTGCATAGCCAGTAAAGCATTGCAACTGCAATCAGCAGATCACGGGTGCAATGCTGAGGCTCCTGCAGCCACTTCCTCCCATCCATGCCCGTACCAAGGTACAGACATGCAGTACACAGACCGGGAGGCAGAGTTAATGGATTACAACTACGGTGATGTCACCACACTTGTATTCCTTTTAAACTATAATCCCCTCTGCCGCCATGGCAGACAGGACTTGTGGTTCCTCCATCCTGTGGATAGATGACATGGCTGCAGCAGCAGCCTGCAGGGAGAAGAACCCTGCAATTCAGGTAAGTGGGGGGGGGGGGGGGGGGGGGGGGGTCGGGCAGGGGGG